GAGTCCACGTATCGCGCGCGGTGAATCGACGCGTAACGCGATATCCTTGTGAGATAGAATATTCCGCGCTGTGTGTCGCGAATATTTTGACGGTTATTCGCGCTGGGTACCGCGAATCTTTGCTGCGTGCAAAAAGACAGAATATTCCGCGCTGTGTGCCACGAATATTTTGAAGGTTATTCGCGCTGTGTGCCGCGAATCTTTGCTGCGTGCAAAAAGACAGAATATTCCGCGCTGTGTGCCACGAATATTTTGACGGTTATTCGCGCTGTGTGCCGCGAATCTTTGCTGCGTGCAAAAAGACAGAATATTCCGCGCTGTGTGCCACGAATATTTTGATGGTTATTCGCGCTGTGTGCCGCGAATCTTTGCTGCGTGCAAAAGACAGAATATTCCGCGCTGTGTGCCACGAATATTTTGATGGTTATTCGCGCTGTGTGCCGCGAATCTTTGCTGCGTGCTAAAAGACAGAATATTCCGCGCTGTGTGCCACGAATATTTTGACGGTAATTCGCGCTGTGTGCCGCGAATCTTTGCTGCGTGCTAATTGTTCCGCCGCGTACGAGAGAAAGCGAGTCCACGTATCGCGCGCGGTGAATCGACGTGTAACGCGATATCCTTGTGAGACAGAATATTCCGCGCTGTGTGCCACGAATATTTTGAAGGTTATTCGCGCTGTGTGCCGCGAATCTTTGCTCGTGCTAAAAGACAGAATATTCCGCGCTGTGTGCCACGAATATTTTGAAGGTTATTCGCGCTGTGTGCCGCGAATCTTTGCTCGTGCTAAAAGACAGAATATTCCGCGCTGTGTGCCACGAATATTTTGAAGGTTATTCGCGCTGTGTGCCGCGAATCTTTGCTCGTGCTAAAAGACAGAATATTCCGCGCTGTGTGCCACGAATATTTTGATGGTTATTCGCGCTGTGTGCCGCGAATCTTTGCTGCGTGCTAAAAGACAGAATATTCCGCGCTGTGTGCCACGAATATTTTGATGGTTATTCGCGCTGTGTGCCGCGAATCTTTGCTGCGTGCTAAAAGACAGAATATTCCGCGCTGTGTGCCACGAATATTTTGACGGTTATTCGCGCTGTGTGCCGCGAATCTTTGCTGCGTGCTGAAAGACAGAATATTCCGCGCTGTGTGCCACGAATATTTTGACGGTTATTCGCGCTGTGTGCCGCGAATCTTTGCTGCGTGCTAAAAGACAGAATATTCCGCGCTGTGTGCCACGAATATTTTGACGGTAATTCGCGCTGTGTGCCGCGAATCTTTGCTGCGTGCAAAAAGACAGAATATTCCGCGCTGTGTGCCACGAATATTTTGATGGTTATTCGCGCTGTGTGCCGCGAATCTTTGCTGCGTGCTAAAAGACAGAATATTCCGCGCTGTGTGCCACGAATATTTTGACGGTAATTCGCGCTGTGTGCCGCGAATCTTTGCTGCGTGCTAATTGTTCCGCCGCGTACGAGAGAAAGCGAGTCCACGTATCGCGCGCGGTGAATCGACGTGTAACGCGATATCCTTGTGAGATAGAATATTCCGCGCTGTGTGTCGCGAATATTTTGACGGTAATTCGCGCTGTGTGCCGCGAATCTTTGCTGCGTGCTGAAAGACCGAATATTCCGCGCTGTGTGTCGCGAATATTTTGACGGTTATTCGCGCTGTGTGCCGCGAATCTTTGCTGCGTACTGAAAGACAGAATATTCCGCGCTGTGTGTCGCGAATATTTTGACGGTAATTCGCGCTGTGTACCGCGAATCTTTGCTGTGTGCTAATTGTGCCGACGTGTGTCGCGAACATTTTGACTGAGGTTAAACATTTATTAACACGTCGCTGTGTGCTAGGACGTATAGAAAAGGGAAGTGCAGTGTGTCACTAACAATGGCGAGACCGCCGAGTGCGTATACGCTTGCCGAGATTAAGGACATTCTCCGCGAGAAGAAGTTGCCGGCGACCGGTAACAAAGCTGACCTGATAGATCGATTGACTGCCAATGACCCGGAGATATGGACCACACTGGATGAACAGAGGTCACGGCAGAGCCGCGGTGTCGATCAGCCGATTGACGCGGGCCATGAATCGAGGGATGCCGTCGCGGGCAAGGACAATGAAAGCCAAGTAAGTAACGACGCATCCGTTGAAGGTCCTTTGACTGAGAATGACTTGATTCGACGAGAAAATGAACTACTTAGAAGAGAACGAGCTCTTCTTCAACGTGAATTAGATATCGTTAGACGAGAGAACATCGAAGATCATGGAGCACCGCAGATGAATGATGGCGGAAGAAGACGTAATGGTCCACCGATGAGCGAAAGTGTAAGGGCTATTCGCGACTTGTTGAGCGAATTCGACGGCAGTGAGGGTACGTTCTGGAAATGGGAACAGCAGGTACAATTGCTGCGAGTGTCGTACGCCTTGGATGATGCGGCGACAAGAATTTTAATAAGCTCTAAATTAAAAGGACGTGCATCCGAGTGGTTTCACTCCAAACCACATCATCTTACCCTTGGTATAGAAAATCTATTGGCGGCCATGAAGGGAATGTTCGACCTTCGTCAATCAAGATTGTCCCTACGCAAGAAGCTCGAAGAGAGAGCATGGCGGACGGACGAATCATTCACGAGTTACTTCCATGATAAAATAATCCTCGCTAATAGGGTACCGATAGTAGATGACGAAGTTGTCGATTATGTCATCGAGGGTATACCTGATCGCAATCTCAGAGATCAAGCACGTATTATGCAGTTCGAGTCTCAGTCGGATTTATTGGAGGCATTTAAAGGATTGACGCTACACCCGAAGAAGTTCCCTGATCGCGAATGGAAGAAACCTATTGATCAAGGAAAAATCCAAAAGGATGGGAAATTGTCGACGAAGGAGAGTTCAGCGTTTAAAGGAAATCCAGCATCGTCGAGTGCAGATTTGGCACCACGCCGAAAGATAATTAAATGTTATAACTGCCAGGGAGTTGGACATCTGGCATCCGCATGTTCACACCCGAAGAAAGTTAAGGGAGGCTGTCATCGATGTGGTTCAGCCAGCCACTTGAAAAAAGACTGTCCCGAGAAAGAGTCGAAACCCGAGTCGACGAACGTTGTGAACTTGATCGAACCGATACCCGTTAGCGATCCGTATTGTGTACAGTTAAAGTTTTCGGTGTCCTTTGAAGGGGATATGGATCGTGAATATACAGTAGACGCGATAGTTGATCCCGGCTCCCCAGTGAGCCTCATAAAAACTGAGTATGTTCCGACGAGTTTGCGCGAACCGCTACCTCCTAACGGCGATTGTTTCTGTGGAGTAAATAAATCCCCTGTTCGCGTAATAGGCACCTTTTCGAAATTAGTCGAAATCGAAAAAATTAATATTCAGCTACGTTTTCTGGTAGTACCGAACGAAACAATGTCGTGTGCGGCATTACTTGGTCGCGATTTTTGTCGAGATCCGTTAATAAAAATCGAACTAGGTAAAACGGTAAAGATTACTAGGAGAAACGAGTCGACAAGCGAGAACAATTTTGATACCGAGATTATGCAAATAGAATATCTCGAAAATCCTGTAAAAGTTGGAGAAGAATTGAATATTAATCCCGGTGTCGAATCGCATGTAGTCGAAAGCGTTCGAAGATTGTATAACAAAGAATACGTTGATAAATGGGATTCGGATGCGAGCGAGCCGGAAACCGAGATGAAAATTTTATTAAAAAATGAACAGCCGATTACCTTCCGGCCTAGGCGTTTAACGTATGCCGATAAAGAAAAGTTGCAAGTAATATTAGACGACTTATTGAAAACAGGTACAATTAGGCAGAGTAATTCACCCTACGCTAGCCCAATCGTTCTCGTGCGGAAGAAAAATGGCGAGTCACGACTGTGTGTCGACTTCCGTGAAATAAATAAATTACTGTAAAAGACAATTTTCCCACACCGTTGATAGATGATCATATTGATCGGTTAAAAGGAAAAAAATATTTTAGTAGTCTCGACTTAAGTAAACAGACAGTTAATCCGCGAATATATCGTTGGGCATTATTTTTAGAGCAATACTGTTATCAAATCGTACATCGACCCGGTACACAGATGAATCATGTCGACGCGTTGAGTCGATGTCATAGCATTCTGACATTAGAAGCAAATTCGTTCGACCGAACTTTATCTATTCAACAAGATCGGGATGTAAATATAGTAAACATTCGAAATAAATTAGAAAAATCTGAGGATAAATTCTTTGAATTGCGAGACGGTCTTGTTTACCGTAAAGATAAGGGTAAAAAACTCTTATTTTATGTACCGATATCAATGGAAAGTAATGTAATCCGTACGTGTCATGATGACATTGGCCATGTCGGCCTCGATAAAGTTATTGCTAACATTAGGCAAATTTACTGGTTCCCACAAATGAGAGAGAAAGTAAAGTGCTATATTTACTTAATACGTTTTGTTCCTATACGTACGACCGAGACGGTCGTAATGTCAGGCTGGCCGACTGTAGGCGAATTATTATTCTACCGATATTCATTTATATACACGCGTGAGCGGCGAATTACGTTTCCTCTCCCCCCCTGGCGGCGCTGCGTAAGAAAGAAGGGAGAAGGTTAAGAGGTCAGTTCCTCGCAGAGTGCGAGCCGTCGTGCGTGTCCTATCGAGTACAGTTTAACCTAATAAAGATCCTTTGTTAAGATCCACTAGAAGCCTTATTAGAATTACGCCCTGACATCATCTAAAACTATCCTGACACCACCTACACACTCAATATAATGAAGAATGTTGAATCTAATATACATAAGATACCTGAAGATTTAAGGGAATCAGCGCGTACTTCGGTGACTAGCTCCGTACATAAATTCCTTAATAAACAAAAGCACATCAACGGTATTGACAGATTTTTCTTGAGCAGCTTTTCAAAATGCAAAAAATTTTTAAAAGAAAATGAGGACTTGCTTATCACCAAAGCGGACAAAGAACAAGTTACCGTCATTATGGATTAAGTATAATGACACAATGACAGAATTACTAAATGACACAACGACTTACAAAAAACTACAAAAAGACCCTGCCAATCGTATGAAAACTAAGGTGAATGAATTGGTTAAGGGATGGCACGACATGGGTATTGTTGACGAGATGACATACAACCGTCTAAAGAGTACTTGTGGAAATCTTCCAAGGTGTTACGGATTACCAAAAGTACACAAGAAGGGCTATCCTTTACGCATTATTGTCTCTTCTGTAGGTAGCCCCACGTATAATGTAGCGCAATATCTACGGGAAATTTTGTCCATTTCGATTCCTAAGCCTAAATCGTATGTAAAGGATAGTTGGACGTTTGTTGAAGCTATTAGACACACGAAGATTAATGACGACCAGTTTTCATTTTCTTTGGATGTTACATCATTGTTTACGAACATCCCTAAGGATTTAGCTTTAACAGCGGTGGAAAAGAGATGGACGTATATTACGAAAAATACCGATTTGACGTTGCCCCAGTTTTTACATGCACTTTCGGTTGTCCTTGATCTAACGAGCTTCGAATTTGGTGGAAAATACTACGAAAAAATTTTTGGCTGTCCGATGGGGTCACCCTTATCACCAATATTGGCTGACTTGGTCATGGACGAGCTTGAAACACAGTGTTTAAGCAAGTTAAACTGCATACCGGTCTTTTACAGATACGTTGACGACATTTTTGCAATAGCACCAAAAACCAAAATCGATGAGATATTAACGATTTTTAATAGTTACCACGAACGCCTAATGTTCACGCATGAGGCTGAAGTCAACGGTTTTGTGAATTTTCTGGACGTTACTATTGTAAGGGCGGAGGGGACATTGTTGACCAATTGGTACAGAAAACCCACTTTTTCTGGCAGGTATATTAATTTCCTATCTAACCATCCCCTTCAGTACAAAATCAACATGATTAGAAGTTTGGTTGACAGAGCTCTATTACTTTCAAACGAATGCTTTCACACTGATAACATCAAAATTATTACGGATATTTTGGTCAACAATTGCTTCCCGAAATCTTTCATTGAACTACATATCGCGAAGAGAATTAAAGCTCTAAAACACCGTAGAGAATTTTTGATGGTTAATGACAATGGAGGTAAAAAGTTTAATACGGGATTATTGTTACCGATACTGTATGTAAAAAGCTTGAGCGAAAATCTTAGGAACGTGTTAAAAAAATGTGGCATCGATTGTTTATACTATCCCGAAAAAATTAAATAGGTTAATTTGGAGAGGAAAAGATAGGATCAACCATATGAAAAAGACTGACGTTGTGTATTTAATAGAATGTAACGATTGCAACGCAATATATACAGGACAAACAAAAAGACAATTAACTACACGCGTAAACAAACATTTTAAAAATATTAAATAACACCATAGTAATCATAACGTAATTAGCTAACATCGAACAAAATATGACCATGAATTTAAATGGACAAAACCTAAGATTTTGCATTGCGAGAAACACAGAAAGAAGAGAGAATTAGCGGAGATGTTTTTTATTAAAAAATATAAGAATAACATCAATTTACAAAGAGACACAGAAAATCTAAATCCTATTTATGATAAGTTGATCCATAGTATATGACTGTCTATTTATTTATTTATTTATTTATGTCGTTGTATTGTCAAACTTTGATATTATTGTGTTTTTAAACGTTTGACTTAAATTGATTTACTTGTCTCCGTTAACATTAGTAATTTTACTGCTGTCGAATTAACATCTAGATAGGTACATTACATTATTGTATATTATTTTTAATTTTCTTTGTTAACAACTTTGTAATTTATTGTTTCATATCCTAATCATTGTATATTTTATTGTGCAGTTACACTTGAAAAGGACCCGTACCTAAGGGTCGAAACGTAGTGTTTCTAATTAAATTGCACTGGCCAGTTAGGTTTCAATTTCAATAAATTTGTAAAATTATACTAAAGTTAATTTCGAAATTTAGCAGCGCCAATTTTTTTTAACTAAAATTTTTTCCAATATTATTAATAGCAGTCACTAATAGTGTTTAAATAGGAGTTGTAGAAATTAATCGACCAAACTAGCGAGTAAATGATTTATTCAGCTTCACGACGTTTCGACCATGTGATTGCGGTCCTTATCAAGTGAAATCTGAAGATTAGAATCTGATGATCCTTCAACGGGTTATGATGTTTAATGTTTTGCTTTACTTTATTGATTGACTTACATAGTTTTAAGAAATGTCACTGACAAAATTTATATAATAATGTGTTAACTTTAATTGAATTTTTTTTGTTTCACTTGATAAGGACCACAATCACATGGTCGAAACGTCGTGAAGTTGAATAAATTATTTACTCGCTAGTTTGGTCGATTAATTTCTATAACTTCTAAAATTTTTTTATTTAAATATTCCGATTAAAAAATTAATTTAATAAAATAATAGATTTTATAGGATAAACTCTTATTCATTAGGATAAACTTATTCATTTGTCGCAATTTTTAGTATTATTTTTTTGGTAAATATTTAATTATTTTGTACAGTAAGAATATATTATATAAAATTAAAATGTCATTTTTAAAGCAGTTTTTTACAATAATTTAAACACAAATTTTTAACTTTTTTTTATAACAGTTTTTTACGTGGGCGTATAAACTTGTCTTTTTTATACTTTTTTTTAAAAAAGGTAAAAGTGCTCTAAAAATTGTCATTTTAATTTTAAACAATATATTTTTACTATACAAAATGATTAAATATTTACCAAAAAAATTGCGACAAATAAATAAAAATTTATCTTATAAAATCTTTTATAATTATTTTATTAAATTAATTTTTTAATAAACTATAAAGAAATATTTTAACCAAACAAAATTTTATGGATATGTAATAACTCCGCGAAAAAAATTGTACCAACATTTTTTTAAAAAAGTGATGGCAAATTTTACCAATTTTTTGGACCTTAAATTTCAAATTTTTTCATAGTAAATAGTACTATTAGATGAAACATTAATCCCAGTAAAATTTCAAGATGAGCATAGGCACGGTTCCGGAGATACAAGGGGGAAAATGATGATTTTTAGTCAGTTGTATGAGAAATTATCACTTTAACTTTTTCATATCTAAGAAACCGTGCCTATGCTCATCTTAAAGTTTCTCTGAGATTAATATCTCATCATATAGTACTATTTGGCATAAAAAAGTTTTAAATTTGAAATCCCAAAATTCAACCTTAATGGGCAAAAATACAGGTCTTTTTGCCATCACTCTTTATATGATAATCATAAAAAGTATACTACATTCATATCACTTGTCATAATCACTTGTCATCCCTAGTTTCTATGCACGCTTTGCCACGCGTTAGCGCGCTGCAAACGCGTGCATTCGTAGTATATCGCGTTGTTTTGTTGAATTTAACTAATTTCAGTGGAATTTGGTATGTCATAACGCACGCGTTTGATGTGCGCTAACACATGCATGGAAACTAGGAGTTATTTGTCATGTTTCAGTGCGCGAAATTTTAACTCCATAATTTGTCAAATATAATTGCTCTTTCCCTTTAAAAACTATTATAGCCTCGACATTTTTTGCATTTAATTTTTGTCTTGAAATGTTTTAAGAAATCTGCTATTAAGGGAAAGTACAGTAGTTGTATGACATCCTAATAATACTTCTAAATAATAATATTTCGATAGCGTATTTGACCTGTACACGTGCAATTTGCTGTTATTCATTGCGAAAGATAAAGGCGTTTGCTGCCGATAAAGGGGTTGAAAACGAGCAACTGATACAACATAACGAGAGATATTTTATAAATTAATCAACTTACCTCTCTCTTTTAAACTTTCACAGTTGATTTGAGATGTTGAAATTAATAACGAATTATTTCTCTTGCTAGAACAATAAACGTATAGCAAATATAAATAGAAAAATATAGTTTTTCTCGCAAACGTACGTTTACTTTTTTTAATTGATAGTTTCGCCGTCGCTTAACTAACTTTACCGTCTACAAATACAAATGAATTGTAGAGATTAACAAACGTTTTATGACAACGAGCGACGACAATAAAAGTACTGTGAAAATGCATCATGCGGTGAGAATTAAATATTTTTGACAGTATTTATAGACAATGAGAAAGGAAAAAGAAAGAGAATATTAATGTTTCCGCAGTATAAATTATTCGGTGAATGGCAAATATATTTATGCGAAATATTCACGAGTTTAATGATTAACAAAAAATGACCTGATTGCCAGTTGAATTTTGAAAACCAAATTGTAATTGATTTGTGATTTTTATTTTTATTAATTTTACCTATACTTTATCAGATTTAATGTATTAATTGTTTTAACCTTCTATAAAATTGTTTATAAGCCTTATTGTTTATGTATTGTTATTATATTATAATTTATTAGATGACTTTCACTATATGTTATAATCAGGCCTATTTGCGAGAGATTGTTGATGGTTTTGTTCAGTGTAAATTTACATGTCAAAATAAACTTTCGGTTCCTATCTTTACTTTCAAGTCTGTCATTTTTGCTTGGTTACAACTGACAGTTACCTGATTTGGTTATTTCAATATATATTTTAATTTAACAGGTATTTATGTACAATTACATCGAGATAATTTTATTGCTTGTATTGTATTACTGAAATTTATAACGTAATTTTTGTAGCCTGAAGAGGACCTAATTGATGGTCGAAACGTCGTTTCTTTTTAATAAAAGATTTTTAACTTTGCCGGTGTTGGTCAATTGATTCCTTTCTAATTTGGTTTTCAAAATTCAACTGGCAATCAGGTCACTTTTTTTGTTAATCATTAAACTCGTGAATATTTCGCATAAATATATTTGCCATTCACCGAATAATTTATACTGCGGAAACATTAATATTCTCTTTCTTTTTTCCTTTCTCATTGTCTATAAATACTGCCAAAAATATTTAATTCTCACCGCATGATGCATTTTCACAGTACTTTTATTGTCGTCGCTCGTTGTCATAAAACGTTTGTTAATCTCTACAATTCATTTGTATTTGTAGACGGTAAAGTTAGTTAAGCGACGGCGAAACTATCAATTAAAAAAAGTAAACGTACGTTTGCGAGAAAGAACTATATTTTTCTATTTATATTTGCTATACGTTTATTGTTCTAGCAAGAGAAATAATTCGTTATTAATTTCAACATCTCAAATCAACTGTGAAAGTTTAAAAGAGAGAGGTAAGTTGATTAATTTATAAAATATCTCTCGTTATGTTGTATCAGTTGCTCGTTTTCAACCCCTTTATCGGCAGCAAACGCCTTTATCTTTCGCAATGAATAACAGCAAATTGCACGTGTACAGGTCAAATACGCTATCGAAATATTATTATTTAGAAGTATTATTAGGATGTCATACAACTACTGTACTTTCCCTTAATAGCAGATTTCTTAAAACATTTCAAGACAAAAATTAAATGCAAAAAATGTCGAGGCTATAATAGTTTTTAAAGGGAAAGAGCAATTATATTTGACAAATTATGGAGTTAAAATTTCGCGCACTGAAACATGACAAATAACTCCTAGTTTCCATGCATGTGTTAGCGCACATAAAATTATAATTTTATTTTTATTTTTACAAATCACTTGATAAAGACTCAAAGAAGGGTCGAAACGTTGTGATTTAATAAATAATATTTGCCAGTACGGTCGAGAGAAGAGTTTTACTTTTTTAAATTCTGTCTGGCGATTCTCAAATATCTACGTTTATACTTGTGTAAAATGAAACCAACAACCATGAATGTAAGCTGTCGGAAACTGCTCGCTCATCACAGACAAAGCAGCTTTTTCATAATCAGCCATTATAAATTTTAAATTTTGTTGCAGACCAGGTGCAAGTGAAACGACTTTTCCCACATAACTTTATAAAGAAAGGCAGATCGTGCTTCACATAACGCAAAAATTGTCGCTATGCTCTATAAATTGATATGATAATCTTTATAAAATACATATGTACAATATATATTATTAAGTTTTACAATGATAAGATTTATATTTACGTACCGTATCTGCATAACGAACATGTATACTATACTACTCTACATTATTATTCTACTTTTACTTTTTTACACAAGTATGTTGCATTTAAGTTTCTATCAAGTTTTTAAATATATTTAATTAATATTAACTTAATATATTAACAAAAATTTGCTTTTTTAGGCTCTTCTTAGAAAATAGCGGCGGTTAAAACTAAATAATACACCTCGCGAACTATTGTCAATGACTATGTTAATGGCATTAGCACCTTGTGATTTATTTAATGATTCATTAAATATTATGCAAACAATTGCAGATCGTTTTTCTACGACTTATCCAAATATATTAAGTACTATTTATGACATATATGCGTACTACATGGTTACCTATAGCATCCAAAGTGTCTGTTTACAATTGTCCGGTTCGAACAAATAATTTCGTTGAAAGTTTCCACCATATTGCCACGCAAAAAATAAGTACAACTAAATCTCTGGATATTTTTAGGTAAATATATATAAATTTCATACTTTTTTATAATTTTATTCTATATAATATTTGTAACATATGTAATACGACTTGTTTAATAATTTTTGATATTTATAATTTACATTGTTTTCACAGAACATCTATCAGAGATTATAACGACTCAAGAAATTTATTATTCACGTTTACAAAATAATGTACCTGTTAGAAGATTACGCACACGATTTAATAGAGAGAAAAATGCGCAAATTATAAGAGGTCAAAGTGCTCTTACAAATGGTGACATTACTTTACAGCATTTTTTACGTATGTTTACACGTTTTAATCAGTACCAATTAGATGTAATATTTGAAGGTAAACATAAATAAAATTTCATTTGTTTACAATATCTTTAAACGCACAACAATGAATAATGTTTTATTCATTTTTTCAATATTTTTCAATTGTTTGTATAACTTTAAATCGCATATTAATGTTGTATATCATTATTTATAGTAATGCTGCATGTGTATTGCATTGTATGTCATTAATTATTATTTACAGGCAATGATGATGAAGAAATAGATGGAAATATGCTTTCAGATGAGATCCTGAAATCAGGTAAAAATTAATAAATTATTAGTTAAAATCAACGTGCCAAATTATATGCTATTGATGATTTAACATTTGCAATTTACTATTCAATTTTGTGTAAAAGGCTTGAAAGTCAGAAAAATTATCATTTTCTCAACTTGACAATACTTCTAGTACCTGAACAGTCAATTATTGAGTGTCGTGCCATGAAGATTTTTGATCAGCATCATGTAAATGAATATTTCCCGAAATTCAGACAACTTGATCAAAAAATTTTTCCATTCATTTTGGGATTCAGGAAAAGATCTTTCAGATTTCACTTGTCTGAAAAGAGTTCATACAATTTGATTTAATATTTAAATTAATATTTAACTATAACTTATATACTTAAATAATAAATTATTATTACTAACTACTGTTGAAAAGTAAATAAGATTGCTCGGTAATTAACTATTAACACATTGAATAGAAAAATGGACAATCAGAGAAACATGAAGTTATAAGTACATCAAGTAAATTTTTCAATTTTTAATACATATCAGATGGAATGCTTTGGCTCAGCTTTGAGCCATGTTCAACGATGTCAATAAAAAATACAGTAACTGTAATAGAAAAATTAAATTTACGCACTTACAGTCGCATGTTTCAGTGCCCATTTTGTTTAGTTAAAGTTGTTAGTTAATTACTATCTATTACTATGTACAAATTATTATTACTAATATTTCAATAATGAATTACTATATTTATGTTTATTATTTTATAGCTGAAACTGAACATATTCGGAATTCAAATCAAAGACATACTACAAATCGATTTTGTAGAAATACGCTGAATCCAAGAGAAATGCATGAACAAGAAGGTATTATATGATTATATTTCAAGAGTAACTAATTCTTTATTTGTCTATTAATCAAAATAATAGAGTAATTTAATATTAAATTATATTAATAATTAATTAACTCTTATTATTTAATAAAAAGTAACACAAAAAAGTACTTTAAAAATAACAGAAAAACTAAGATTTTATTACATAATAGTATTACAATTTTAAATTTTATAGTAATATTAAATTATTATAAAATGTCAATATTTATTTTTATAAAAGTATTTTAAAATCATATATACAATATATATATATATATATATATATATGTTTATATATCATATTATACATACATATACATATGTATATATTTATTGCATGTAGTAAAAAATGAAAATTTGGTTATGTTATATAGATGCTTTATATTTCTAGAAACATATTTTAATAACAGATTTAAATAACTTTAATATTTAACTTAATATTTAACATACGAATTTTTAAAGGCTCCTAATATTAAATAAAAACTTAAATTAAATATATATATATTAAAGGCTTTGGAGCCGTACGCGGATCTCGGTGTGTTAATTCCTTGCCTTTAAATAATATATATATGTTAATATTTTACATAATAACTGATTGAAATAAAAAAAACATAATCATATAGCAAGCAATAGAGTCAATCGCTGTTATTAGGGCGAAAAATTAATAAACAGTAATTAAAACATATGTTAATTTACTCATTATAAAAATATATAAAAGATCATATAAAACATCTCTATGTAACGTATTTTTATAATAAATTTCTTATAAGAGCCTTTTTATTTCAATTTATTGTGATTGAAATAACTTCTAAAATACAGATGTACGATGCAAGAAATGTTTCACTTAAATATGTAATTTTTTAAAAGTATATTTAGTAAAGTATATTTTTTAAGTAATTATTAGGTAAATCATTAAGTGTAATTATTTTTTAAGTATTTTTTAAGATCATGTAATATATTTGAACAATCAAATATATACACCTTTTTTTTGAATATTTTAATATTAAAAAAAACTGAAGAAAACAATAATTCTGCATTATGTATTCTGGCAACAAAACTTTTCCTGGCAAAGAATTAATTTTTTAAAATTTTTATTTATATTATTTTGTAGACATATTATTATCAAATTTTTATTTTACAAATTTTTTTCTATCTCTTGTAGTTTAAAAATTATATGCGTAAAAGTGGAAGCGCTTTTTTAACTTTGATATTGAAAATCATGTCTTTAAAGAGCAATAGGACACAATAAGAAAAGCATATCGTTATTCATATATTGAGTCTCTACATACCTACAAAAATTTGTTCGGGTTTAGGATGTTTCTTTGTTAGTGTATCAAAATATACATATTATGCAGAATCATTATTGTTTTAGTTTTTAAGTGTTAAAATATCAAAAAAAGTATATATTTAATTGTTAAAATATATTGCATATTTTACACTCAAGACCGAACTAATCATAGTCAAGTATTCTTCTCATACTCAATTATGATTAGTCAATTTCATAAGGCTTAGGGTTAAAATTATCTATTGTTATACGATCAATATTGTTGTTATTATAAAATAAGACCGAAAAATAATTAAATTATTCAAGTAAAATATTTCTTACATTTAACATATGTATTTTGTTTTTTCAAGTTATTCACTGTTGTGCCTCGCGTGAGACACAGAAGGGATGTTGCCGGATTAGGAAGTGGACTTCTGAATCGTCGGGGTTTCTCCGTAGATTTTAGTCTTGTTTAATGTAGTATTACTTCTTTATTCAATATATATATATATATATAAGTATATTGGTATATATATAATCTTAACAAGACTCGGCGTATGGTTATTTAAAAAACCTCTGGTAACTTCGTTTCTCTTTTTCGTTCGTTTGACGCGACTCTAGATTTATTCTGACTTTAGCTAAATAACGACTCGTCTGATTACGAGTCGGGAGTTATCCTCGATGTGTCTCGGTAGGTTGGTCTAATTCAACTCGCTCTCTGTTCACTCCCGAGTTCTTACGTGAACTCGGTTTTTCGTTATTTCATTTGGAAGGGGTGCCTGGCGACAGGCACCCGATTGGTGCATAGCTTTTGCATACGCGGCTAGATTTTGAGCTAAGAGCTGTTCGAAAGATGAAGCTCTTAGCTTGTGTCTTCGCGGTTTCCGGCCCGCTGCTGCATCAGCGGTCTTCACGCGGATTTTATATCTGTTAACTTGTAATTATAGCCTTTCGGGCTATAACATCACATTTATTATTATGTTAAAGATTAATTATCATAATTTTCTATAATTAAGAGAAAATTTCAATATTTTGTTACATAAATTCTTTGCTTTAAAGTATGTTTTTAGACATACAAAGCATCTATATAATGTAACGTAATTTTTATATTTTTTCGCTTACATACAATAATATACAACTTCAGCGATGTCAATAAAAAATAGAAGTCTATTTTTTCCAAATTTCAACATTAGCATATATCATATATCATAAGCAGAATATATTGAATTAATACTTATTATACATTTACACATAATTTGAAAACCAGTTTTTTATTTAAACAATATTAAAAGTTTTACACATTTTTTTCTACTAATATAATATTATAATTCAACGTAACTTTATTTTTAAAAAATAATTTTTGTATTTTTATATATATATTTACTACTATATATTTATTACTATCTTTTTATAAAAAAAGAATCTTCATATTAGAATTAATACTAACATATTATTCTACAAGTACTAATTTCATTTATTTGGATAGTGGTCTTTGAAAAATGATAAGTGATTTTTATAAATTTAGTTTTTAAAAATTTAATTTTACTTTAACCTTTACTAATAATTACATATACAACAATTTAATACATAATTACATCTAAAACTTCTTTTTAATTATTCTAAACTCTTTTAATTCTAGATATTGAAGCAGAACAGCAACATTCATTACATGAGAATTTTGATGCAGAACATAACAATGATAACGAGTTTGACATAAGTACAAGTATTTATATT